GGGAGAGGGAGCTGCCACAATAAGAGCAGGAGAAAAGGAATGGAGGAGAGGAAATGGAGGAGCAGAAATATTGAGTTGGGGGAAGAATAGACGAGAGAAAGCAGGATGAGAGATACCATATTGGAGGGAGCCACTATAGGTCTGAGGAGAGATCTGGCACTAGGGAGATTTCCGAGACCTACAAGGATGATACGATCTGACAATCCAGGCAATGGTAGAGAGGATAACCTAAACACCCTTCCCCTAAAATGAGATTGATGACTACTCTTTATGCCATCCTAGAGCCCTCATCCAGTGGCTGATGGAAGCAGAGACAGACATCCACAGATATACACTGAGCTGAAATCTGGAACTTAGTGGAAGAGAGCGAGGAATGAAGATCAAAGGGGTTTGTACCAGATTAGAGAAACCCACAGAAACAGTTGGCCTGAACAAGGGGGAGCACATCAACCCCAGACTGCTGTCTAGGAGGCCAGTACAAGAGTGATTCAGACCCCTGAACATGGATGTCAATAAGGAGGCCTCTGCACGTCAGGGAGCCCCTGGTAGTGGATTAGTATTTTTCCCTGGCATAAGAAGGGACTTTGAGAGCCCATCCCATGTGAAGGGATACACTCTGGCCCTGGACACATGGGGAAGGGCTCAGGTCCAGCCCAGGAAGATTTGGTGGACTTTGCAGAGCCCCCGGTTGAGGGCCCTGCCCTGCCTGGGGAATGGAGGGTGGATGGAGTGGGGGGTGGGTTGGGGGTGGAGGAGGAAGGATGGGTGTGAGGGGAGGGAGAGGGGATTTACATGTGAAACAAGCTTGTTCCCAACTTGAACTAATAAAAAAAAATTTTAAAAAAGTTATTTGTAAACTTAATACTTTGAGAGTAAAGTATTAAATCTATACTTAGTACTTTATATTGTATAGTAAATTTATCAAGTAATTTTCACCTCATTCTAATCCATATTCTGAGCCTTCAGTATTTAAGTTCTTTTTTGTCCAAGCACTGGAATAAAATGTAACTACTAATATAATTTCATTAAATTGGTGGCTTCTTTTGTTTTGTTTCCTTTTGTTTTTTGTTTTGTTTTTTGAGACAGGGTTTCTCTTTGTAGCTTTTGGAGCCTGTCCTGGAACTCCCTCTCTAGTAGACCAGGCTGGCCTCCAACTCACAGAGATTTGTCTGCCTCTGCTTCCTAAGTGCTGGGATTAAAGGCCCATTAAATTGTTTAATCACATTGTAAATTTAAATCAACAAACTCTCTTAGGACACAGCTGTTTTTATTTGCTTGCTTTTCTTTGGTATTTGTGTATGTAACCATGTGTGTATGTATGTCAGAAGTCAGCACTGACTGGGTGTCATCTTCAGCTGTTCTCTACCCTCTTCCTTGAAAAAAATTACAATTATGTATTCATTTTGTTTGAGTGTATGTGTATGTGTTTATATGTGTATGTGTATGGGTGTGTATGTCATGATACCCATGTGGCAGTCAGAAGAAAACCTGAATGAATTGGTTCTCTCTTTCCACCAGGTGGGTCTCAGAGATCTAACTCAGGCTGACAGGCTTGGCAGCAAGTGCCTTTACTTGCTGAGCTATGTCACAGGCACTGAAACTTGAGCTCATCAGTTCAGCCAGGCTGAGCAGTCAATGAGCTCTAAAGATCTTTCTGGCTGCCTCATGTCAGCACTGGGGTTACAGACCTCCCACACTGGCTTTTGCATGGTTGCTAAGTGGCAAACACTTTACTGAATGAACCATCTCCCCAATCTATTACAGCATCCAAGTTTACAGGGGTTGGCTTACCAACAATGAGTCTCTGAAGGGCACCCTTATCTCCATTCACTGCTGCAGCATGAACCTGTGAGGCTAATGAGGATCCAGAAGAGAGCACATTCTCTGAAATGTTCATAGTTTTCTCCACAACATGAATGACCTGAAGCAGTGATTGAGACAATGAGTACAAGCACAAAACACTTCTAAAACTTGCCTTATCAGTGCCAAGTAGGTAGCTTGTAAACATGATTTATTATAAATATTTAAATAGGGTTTAACTGACTCATATTTCTACAACTTCAATGACATGGCAAATTAGATGGCTTTTGCACTACTTACTTAACTGTAGAATGAGAGAATTTTCTCAAGAAATGAGAAGACATTTACATTAGGCACAGAGTTTAAAAGTCACACTAACTTCTATGTAGGGGAAGTTTTTCTCCCACCTGCCAGTTCCCGAATAACCACTCTGAGGCTTAATATTAATTATAATTGTTTGGCCAATGTCTCAGGCATATTACTAACTAGCTCTCACAATTAACCATTTCTATTATTTTATATTTTACTAGGAAGCTCGTGGCTTGTTACCTCACATCTTGTTTCCTTTGGAGACTACATGGTATCTCCCCAACTCTGCCTTCTTTATCTGTTTGGATTTTCCACCTGGCTCTATTCTGCTTGGCCATTGGCTAAATCATTTTTATTTATCAACCAACAAAAGCAACACATATTTGCAGCATACACAAGGACATCCTATATAACTTCTAAGATTAATATAGGTAATGTAATGCCACACAATTCTTGTTGAGATCAGACTGTGTCCTGCTTTAAGTTACTCCATATTGGGTAAAATAGTGGTTTTTCAGCCCATGCTTTGCTGTGGGAGACTCCAGTTTATGAAAAGCTTTTGAATTCTGTTTTGAGGGTAGAAGATGACGCTGCCCCTGGGTGGAAGTGAACACTAGCTCCTGCCCAGCACCATCCTTGAAGCATAGAGTGGTAAGTGACTGTGCACTCATGAGGGATCAGAGAGGGTGCCAACCTATAAACTTTTGAAGATGTACTGGAAGCATATTAAAATAAAACTAAGGAAACCAGCCCCAAGGACTTACTGGACATGCCAGACTGAGGTTGGGTTGTAACTCCCTCATCTGGACCATATAAAGTGGAAGACCTAGCAATGCAATGGCAATGGCCCTCACCAACATATCTTCTGAGACCTAGTGTGAGCATCAGGGATTAACAGGCAGAGTTGTCAACTCTCCTTGAGGCTTCAGCTCAGCTGGGTCCCTGGCTGTTGACATAGCCTACTTGACTGCAATCTGCCCACCCACCTTCTTGCTTGTCTGGACCTGGGCCCACTGTGCTTGTTCTAATTCGATTTTGCTCTTGCTCTTGTCTCTGTAGCTGACTGTATCTTTGCCCTCCACCCTGACTACCTTGTGGCCTGATGTGAACAGCCACAGCTTGCTCTCTGTGACTGGTTTGGTGTTGTTACTTATGAAGATAGAGTCTACTTGGATTTTTTATCAACCTACTTCTAAAACCTCTTGCATTCTGCTATGGCTTAAGTTGTATTCATTCTGTAAACCACATATATGCATATTTACTTTGTGCTGTTTAGTATGAGTAATTGAGATTAGAGTAAAATAATCTGCAGTTGACTTGGTCAGATTACCAAAGTAGGTGAAATGGCTGTATCTTGTGAATTTACTCTCATTCACTAAAACCTGAAATTGTAGAAAGACATAAAATGCTTGCCTATATTTCTGACATAGCTCTTTCACAACTGACAAGGATTACTGAATTGTTCTTACGTAGAAAATATGAACTTATGGCAAAGGTTAACTTTTCATTTCTTTAATTAACTGACATAAGGAAGATGACGCTGTGAGGCTCTTCTGTTTTGTCTGAGCATTTCTGTCACGTTAGAACAAAGAGTGTCATGTGCAGGATCATATGAAAGTCCTTTGAGAGAAGCTATGGAACAAAGATCGAGGTAAACCATAGTAGGAAACTACATTTAAGTTCCTGGTCCAGTTCTGTTAATGATCAGCTGTGTGTCTTCAGACCACCTCAGCTCTTTAGATTTCAGTAAACATGAACAATTAAAAGGGCTGACTGTGTTCTTTTATTTAACAAGTAAGGTGCCAACTATTCTAGGCATCAATCTGAATTGTAAAACATCATTTTGGATCTAAACTGAACAGAGTTTTAGGTGTGCCAAACCAAAAAAGTTATCTGAATACTTTGAAAACTGTCAAAATAGTTATATCTATTTCTATAAATAGCTATATTTGCTTAATCCTAATCTTAGCAGTTACCACAGTAATAGGTATACAGCTGGTGCTCAGTAAATGTTTGAATGAAATGTCATAGGGTTAGTACTAAGTCCAAAGGGCAAGTCAGATCAAATTTTAACTTCAGGGAGTAATGAGGCTTTCTTTTCTGTTTTCTTTTCTTTCTTTCTTCTTTTTGCCTCCCTTTCCTTATTTTTTCAAGACAGGGTTTCAAAATTTAGAGACCAGGTTGGTTGGGAACTTACTATGTAGCTCATGCTAGCTTTAAACTCCCAACCCTTCTGCCTCAGCCTCCCAAGTGCTGGGAATACAGGCATGCACCACCATAGCTAATCCTACTGTTTATGAATTTCTCATTTATCTAAACTTGGGTTCTGTCAGAGAATGTGATGATAAGACCACTACATTAAGAAATAGTGAATTTAAGAGTCGGGGCTCTACTATACTTTAATTTTGAAACCCTGGGAAAGCCATTCCTTTAGGGTTCTTTTTTAACAGAAATGTTATTCTCCTTGCTGCTCCCCCAATAAATAATTTTTTATAGATAGAAATCAAAGCCATTTTGTTAGTGCTATAAAATGTAAATGTCTCATCATCATTAAATCATTATAAAACAAGCCTGTGCAATAAATATTCTAATTATTGCTGTGCAAAAGTAGTGGTGCTGAGCTCACCCACAAAGAAAAGGCAATTTTGGTTAGGATGAAAGGCTTGGTGACTGTGATTGATGTCAGTGGACATAGTGAGACTTGAGATGGGACTCCAGAAAGAGAAAGGGTAAGGCCATCTCAGGCAGCAGGGAAGCCGAAGCAAAGACTGGGTGTAGGGAGAACCACAAACGCATAGTGCCTCCTGGGTGCTAGGTAGTGATGATATGGCTAACTTCCCACACACATAGACCTGGCTGGGTGCTCACAGAAGATTCTAGAAAGCTACCAGACACTATGTTAATAATCCCTTGCTCGACGGTTAATTTGCAAATATACTGTAAGAAGTGGTCACTGTCACTTAGGCACTGCGCTTTACAGTTTACTACATGCTTTCCCACCCTTTCTCTCTTCCTTTCACGGACCCTCAGAAGCAACCCTGGACAAGTCATTGACTGAAGCCCCAGGGGTGGCTCTCCTTATATAACGGAGGAAGTAATGCAGAAAGAGGCAGCAGGCTTCGAGGCCAGGGATGGAGGCTCAGGCCACACCTCAGACCAGGCGGGCCAAGAATATAAAGCAGCGGCCGGGGCGGTGCTCGCCAGCCTGCCCGAGCCGCCGTGCCAGACCGCTTCCTACTCACCCTTGCCTCCAGGACTGGCGTCCCGGGTTGGCACCAGGAGGCACGACCCCCACAGGGCCGCCCCTCCCGCCAAATCAGGCCACGGCGCCTGCAGGGACAGACCCCAGGGCAGCAGAGCTCTGAAAAACCAGCCTGAGGAGCTCGGCCGCAGAGCTCTCTGGGAATTGTAGTTCCCATCCCCCGAGGCGCAGAAGTTCGAGGCCCCTTCCAATCCCGAAGAGCCCCGCGCGCAGATGGCTTGACCGTCTTGGGCTGAGGGCCTACTGGGAAGGAGAGTTCCAGCTCTCAGATGACGTGGTCAAAGAGAGCAGTATGGGACTACATTTCCCGAAGTGCTCAGAGGTGGGCAGGACCCGGAAGTGAGGGCGTGAGAGGCCTCTCTGGAAGTTGTCCCGGGTGTTCGCCGCTGGAGCTCCGGGTCGAGAGGACGAGGTGCCGCTGCCGCCGGCCCCCGGAGCCCAGCCCTTTCCTAGCCCGGTCCAGTTCCAGCTGCCACCTCCTGACCCCGCCGCAGACCCCATCGTTACCATGAATCCTGCCGTCTTCCTGTCTTTACCCGACCTCAGATGCTCCTTGCTGCTGCTGGTGAGTATTTGTAGGGATGACAAACCCTCCGACTGTGTCCCTGACCGCCTCCCGCCCTCCGCGAGGGGGAACGGTGCTGCCCCTGCTTGCCTCGACTCTCCTTCGCTGGCGAGGCGTGCACCTCCTGGAACTGCCTTCAGTTTGGCCCGTTCTTTTGGCTTCTTAGGCCCGCGGTCCACGAGGCCTGCGGAACCACAGTCAGGGGTCGGGACCTGCAAAAAGGAAAATTCGCCTTAGGGGAGTGAAACGTGAGTGGTCACAGCTGAGGCCCCCTGGAGTGGGTTTCAGTTTTGTGGATGGTGAGGACCTGTTTGGGGCACCAGAATCCTAATGGACCGAGGGGACACCTAATGTTTTCTCCCACATTAGGAAGGGAGTGAAGCCTACAGGTGCTGGGGTCTTGGGAATCTCTTTCTGGATCCTCTAAACAGGCTGGCAAAGCCCTCTGTTGTGGCTTCATGTGATTGGTTGGAAACCCGGAACTGGATACTGGTTTGGTGTCTACTGGGAGATTAGGAATTTGAAAAGGTGGAGGGTGTGATTATCTGACAGGCTCTTCTAGGGCTTCCTGCAAACCCTTTTGCAACCTGTCTCCCTCACTGAAGCATATATCTTTGTCAGTGCTCTTGGCTTGAGAATAACCGGCTCTCCTGCATACATACGTGCCTAGTACTAGGACATTATCCCATCTTAGAAAAGAATCTTTACTCAGTTTCTCTTCCTTCGAAGTGTATCTTGAGTGTGTGATTTAAGTGATCTTAAGGTCAGATTGATACCAAAGTGAAGGTGAAAATACATATGGAAAAACGAGAGTAGTGTAATTGAGCTGTTATGATGCACTGTTTGAAAATACTTGAATTGTGGTAAGTTCTTAGAAAGCTAAATTTATTGAATATAAATTACTTTCTTCACAGCTTAAGAATTAATTAACTTGCTAGAAGCTGTATAGTTGGCTACAGGGAAGACTAAGTCTAGAAATAGATTTCTTAATTTGTAGTGTGTATTCCACAGTATCACATAAAAAGTTAAACATTTGTGCTTGAAATACTTTTCATTCTCATTATGACTTGAAAGCCATACTATGTATACAATACTTCTTTCTTTTCGAAACAAAATAGTGTAAGCTAAATGAAGGGAAAATACTTCTGAAGACTAAAGTTGTATAAACAAGGCAATATTAAATGATTGAATGTCTTATTAGCACTTTAAGTATACTGCAGTAAATTACTTCTTTATAAAAGAACATTCCCTCTCTCCCTACCTCCCTCTGTGTGTGAAGGTGTGTGTGTGTGTGTGTAGTTTTATTATGCACGGTGGCACTTTGTAGAAATGTTAGAGGCCATATGCTTCTTAAGGACACTAATTACTAATCTTTCCTCATCATAAAAAGTTGTATGTTAGAAATTATTTTTTAGGTGAATGAAGAATTCAAAAGTCAAAATCTAAAGACATTGAAAAGTTGAAACATCGAGTAGGAAAATGATGTCAATAGAGCCAAGATTAAGAACGAGAACATTTATTTTGAAATAGCTCATTTTTTTTTTTGTAGAGAAACAATCATGTTAAATATCCAAATGATGATTTCTTCTCAAATAAGCCTGTATTTTACTAAACTCTAGTTAAAAATATGTTGTGTATTTATCCCTAAGCAAAGACAGAAGAGAGGACTGGGAATATAGAAGCCATTTTAGAGAACTTCTGTAAAGATTAATGGACTGGAAAACAAAGCCTCCGAAAAGTGTTCATAAACCAGAAGTACAAGTCAAACTAGATTCAATTTGAACACAATGTTTACTTACTTCGTTCTAATAATCTAATATTAGTTTAGCAGATATTCATAAAACATCTGTGTAATCTCAACAGTGAGTAGCATGTCTGACTGCTAATGCAGCCATAGTGAGGAAACCTGCTTACTCAGTATCCCACCTGTGTAATGAATAATCCTGGGTTTCCTTCAGGTTTCAACTTGATGACTTTCACAGACAGACATAGGAAACTCCATTTCTCTCTTGGCTGAGGTCATCATTTTTCCTTTAAGTGGTTGGACACCCAAATATTCTTTTACTACAGTAAGAGACACTCTGGACCTCATTCTTAAAGAGCTACTAATACCTACTTAAATTTTTAGGGATTGTACAATAATAGCTGAAATCGTAATACTGAATTTCAGGAGGCAAGTGGCTGGCTATCTTTTCCCCAATCAGAAAAGTATTCTAGAAAATATCACTCCTTGCTTTAAAAACCTTTTTGCATGGGTAACTAACCACAGACACTAGGTGTGATAACTCTTCCATTATGTGTTGATTGACCCTTTTCTACTTTGTGTCTGAGATAGGTTGATTGAGAATTGAAATAGGTGAAATAGGTTCTTTTCTGCTTAACTGTTTCTTGGCCATATCATCTCTGCACTAGTTTGTGTGAAATAAGAGAGAGATGGCCAAATTGGAATGAACTTGGGTCAGTAAACTCTGTGCTTTAGAGACTTTTAACCCTTTATTGCAGCTTTATTGACGGTGTCTTCTCACTAATCTCTTGATCATTATGCTCAGAGAGTCTAGTTTCTTACTAGCTCTGATAGTCCTGTGTTTGTTTAGGTTAATACTTTTGCTGCTGTTGCTCTTTTTTTTTTATTTTCTGTAATTATAGGAAGCCAAGAAAATATTACCTAGTTAAGGAAGCATAATTTGAGAGCTAAGTAAACAGTTGTATATATCTGCTGAATATATTTTTAAGATTTTTTTTAAGTGTCAGTTTTAATCATTCCAACAATAAAGAAAATGATCAGTCTTCAAAAAAGTGCAATTGGAAGCATGTAATTAGATTCATAATAGGTGGGCTATTTATCCTTTTATATAACTTGCTTACACTATGAGGCTACTCTTTAAAATCTCTTGGGACAATACTAATAAAATGCAGTTCAGTGGTATCCTGGGTTCTGTTCTCAGTCCCACAACAAACAGACAAATAAACAGTAACACAAAGTTGCCTGGGCCATATTCCAGTTATACCTCATAGGGACCAGACATTAGTTTAATTTTCCCCCAAACACTATTATCACACCTATAAATTTATTCAGATACGACTTGATTCTTTATTGTGTCTGTTTTTAAAAACTGATTGATCAAATTGGAACCATGTAAGTTCCAGACATGTTAGTTGGTTTGTGTCTCTATAACTTTTGATGCCTGGAATTGAAAGGCCTTGAGCATTGTAAGCACACACTGTATTACTAAGCATCTATCAGCCCAAGATGTTTAAAGTCTGTTGCTTCCTCTTCCATCTCATTTTTTTTCTTTCTTGGTAATTTCTTTAGGAACTGTGCTGTAGAACATCTCACATTCTTGTAATCACTGATTGTAGCCTCTTAATATTGTTTTTATGTTTTTCTGTTGGTTGTATTTACTAGTAGAAATCTACTAGTTCAATTTTTGTGATTTTTCAACCACCAACTCAATATGTATTGCTAATTTTGCTTATTTATCTTTCAAATTAAGTTTTTGAAAACTTATTATTTACTTCATAATCATATGAAATTTATGATCTTCAAAGCCAAACAAATTGTGCTAAGTAATTCTGATTTTTTCATCTGTCTCTTCTACTATTTCCCAACCTCCTAATGTAAGAAGAGTTAGTATTTTTTTTTAATTTTTATGGCCATTTAAAAAAATTAATGTAAGTTATTTGCTTTGCTCTTTTGTCTGTATGTATGTTTTTCTAGTTTGATTAAACTATACGTATTATCCATACTTTTTTCACCTTAAAATTATAAAGTTTTTATATTTTAAAGTTTTATATTAAAGGTGTTGAGATGGAACTATTCCACATTTTGTGTTTGTGTGTGTGTGTGTGTGTGTGTGTGTGTGTGTGTGTGTGTGTGTGCAATCAGAAGGCCAGATGATGACTTCAGATGTTGTCCTTACATGATGTCTACCTTTTATTTTTGAGACAGGGTCTCTCATTTGTTGGAACTCACTGGTAACTTAGGCTGACTGGCCATGGAGCCCTAGTGTCCACCTTCCCAATGTTGGAATTATATGGTTGTACTACCATGCCTAACTTTTAAACTTTAGTTTAGTTTAAAGAATTGTAATTAAGTCTTTGGCAGTTTCATATATGTGTACAGTATACTCCAGTCATTTCCACCCATATTATTCACTCTCATCTCCTGTCCTTTTTCTGCTGAAACCCATCTTCTTAGTTTCCTTTCAACTATCATGCCTTTAAAAAAGTGTGTGTTTGTCTGTGTGGGTGTGTATCAATGTGTGAGTATATGACTCACTGAGTTTACTTATTTGCTTGCATGAGCATGGGTGGGGAGGTTAATTACTGGGGCATGGGCTACTTTTCCATGGGTACACCACTGATGAAAATGACACCCCCTTCTCCAGTGATCATTAACTGCCATTGTTCCCTCATGGAGCAGTGGGGTCTCATGCACCTCTCTCCCAACCATGAGGAAATGCTGAGACCCTGTCTTATGTAGGTAAGCACAACTGCAGTGAGTTCATGAGTGTTAACAGCTTGTCTTGTCAGTAAGACTTCTTTTTGTGCATACTACCTTATTCTTCAGCTTCTACAGTCTTTCCAATCGTTCTTCCACAGTTGTTCCCTGAGCTTTGGAGGGG